TATAATTAGTAACTTACGATGTTTCTATTCATTTGTTATCATGTTGAATACAAATTCAGTCATATTAAAAACATTAGTCTGCTTTTAGCCTTACGCTGGAGTTGGTTTACTTTCTCGCAATGAAACTAAGTAAATAATTACATAAATTAACATGATAATATCGTGTATCGGCGATCTCACAGGCTGATGATAGGACGATATGAAAATTGAGCATATCGCCCAACACTATTGTATCCCATAGTGAGACACCTCACTTAATGCTATCAGAGAACTGGGGTTATGCAAGTAACCTATCAATATGTTTACCAAAGACCTGTTGGAGAGCAACGGGCAAACAGCAAACATTAAAGGACATTCCTACTTTGGTCTTGTAAGTATCTGTATTCATTTTGACGTGTTCATTATTTATTTACATTATTTGTTATCATGTGTTGGAACCGTGACATTTTAGCGGTAACAGCGGCCATGTTGTGGTTAGCTTAAAGGCAGGGTAGGTGATTTGGTTCAAAAATATTTTTTTTTATGCTGGTTGAAAGTCTCTTCACATCCCGATAGCATTCACTATTGAATGCTGTTAAATTGTCTAAATGAATTTATAGGCCTATGTATTTATATCATCTGTGGATAGCGTAGGACCATAAAATGTTCATCCAATCATATTCCTCGGTCCGAGAGCTACAATAGGCTGTTCTACCTGCCTGTCAATGTATTGCATACCTCTGTGCATCCTGTTCGCACAGACATGCTTATTGTAATATTATGTGCTCTATACTGTGATGTTTTCTCACCAGTGAATGAGACATGAGGTAATCTTTAAAAAATTCCCTCATGTCAAAATTCATGGGGGTTGGTCCTCTGCAGAAGGAGGCATTTGAAAAGACTGCACTGTTCTTGGTTATTACAAGTATGCATGTGTGTGTGTGTGAATGTGTGTGTGGGCGCCCAAGCAAACATTGACCAGAGCTTGTCTCTGTTTTTAGGCAGAATGGTGATACACAATATCTCTTTTTTAGTAACTGGTTGAATAATTTCTTTTAATGTGGCATCAGGCTATATTGATTTAATTGATATAGTCTCAATCTGTATTGCTTTATACTGACATATCTTAAAAACTCTATAGTATAAGGAATGCAGTTGGGGAGCATTTTAAACAAGAAATAAAACCAATAATTAATAATTTCCTTCAATTTCATTGTTGGTAGTTTGTTTGTTGAAATAAGAGTTAACCTTTTTTGTATTCTTCTTTGTCATTTATCCAAAATGTTTTAAAGTTAAGTGTGATAACATGCTCTTGATTTGTATTAAGCCCAATTTATACTTCTGCGTCGAACCTACGCCGTAGCCTAATGTGCACCTCTCCAAAAATCTAACAGCGCGTCAATTCTACGCGAACCGCAAGCGCTGTGATTGGTCTGCTAGAACCTCTCCCTCCGTATGTACTTGAGTTTTGTGTGTGTTTATGTGCACTTTAATATATTTTAATGTTACACCTTCCTATATACAATAAAACAAAGCAAAGAACAAGTGTCTTATTCCGTTGTTGTCTCCTTTTTGTAGTTTTAAATAATTATTTAATGATTTGATATTTATTTGCCGGCGTCACGGCTATAATGCTTCTCCAACACTTCTTCTTCGGCTTTTGCCGTGGTACTGCGGGTTACACCAGCAACATGCCCATGGACACCGCAAACTAGCGGTTTGCATGTGTACTGCACGTCGACGCGGAAAATAACGCAGAAGTATAAATGAAAACTGACGCATAGCCTACGGCGTAAAGGCTATGGCGTAGGTCCGATGCAGAAGTATAAATCAGCCTTTAGATGTATTATTTTGAAATGTCTTAAGTTATTTAAAACATTTTATTCTGTCATTCTTTATATTTTTATTATCTTAAGTTGTTTATTGTCATTTATTATTATATTAAGTTGTTAAAAACATTCTTTTTCTAAATAAAAGATTTATATTTAATTTGTTTGGATGGATTACCATTCATGAGAGCCTGTTATATTTGAGTAGAAAGAATCCTTAAGCCATTATTTTGTGGTCCATTAGATGTCTATATATGTTGTCGTTCAATAGCGGTCTAATTGACCTATCGGTAAGCCCCTCCCCTCGAACGCAGATGAGCCAATGGCAGTCGAGTATCAGTTGCACGGGGAGCGGAACTCGGACATCTGTAGGTTTCAGCGCCATAGAGAAACATTGGAAGATCCGAAGCTCGCATCTGTTTGATGGTGTTTATGCTACAAAAATGGAAAAACAATGTGCCTAGGCTAGGGTGCTTGTAACACTAATTCCAGTTATCCTGAGAGGATAGGCAATGAAATTAATTTTATTCCATTTCCTAAATCCAACCAAAACAGAGCAAAATGTCCCTAAGCAGAGTTGTGCAAAATTGCTTGCTGTGTAAAAAAAAAAAAAAATTTTAAAACATCAGCAATTATATTAAATTCTAATATATATATATGCAGCTTTATTCCTTATATACTGTATATGTATGATTATATGTTAAATATCATTTTCTAAAGATGACATTTCAAACATTATTTACATCATTAACATTATAACTTTATTAATATAATCGTGTTTCTGCAAATACTCCATATGCATGATAACATGTTTATGGGTAATACTAGAAAAGTATTATTAAAAACATCAGCAATTATGTGAACTTAATTTAATTTAATTTTACTTCTGTAATAGATTTAAAAGTAGATATCCACAGAATGATCTGAACATTTGACATTCATTTGGTACAAATTGTTACTTGCTAAAATAAAATGATGAAAGCAATGACGTCAGCTACACAAATCCATACTGACTATTACACTTTCTCAAATGATACAGAGACCAATATAGAAACGGACTTCGTCTCTTCTAATGTGAGAGTCTCTGCGCTGGCCTCAGCATCACTTGCATCCCAAATAGCCGATTGGCTGAAAGCTCAGCATCCCTTCTGACTGGCTGATCCTGACTGGCCCAACATCCCTGCATCTCTAAGAGCTGATTGGCCAAGAAGCTCAACAACCCTCGCATCTCTGAAAGCTGATTGGCTGATGGCTCAACATCGCTCACATCTCTGCCGCACTGTCCTTCAGCTCTGAAGGGCGCCATTACGCGCTCCTCTTTCTATCTACCCCGTGCCAACAATAATTTTATCAGAGTTTTATCACATATTTTAATATACTAACAAATTCCGGCGCTATTTATTTGTAAGATGTTCAGTTTTGCTTAATAAGGCTACAGCGAATCATTCTGGCATCATCCTAATAACGAATATAAGTAGAACAGTTAGAGACATCGAGCGCATGTAGTTGTATTTTGAACAAAATGAGTTAATACATTAATTCATAACTGAATAAATGAACGCATGAATGACACAGTGAGTAAATATGCTCGACTGATTAACGCAGATTTCCAATATACTAATCACTAAAATGCTGTCAGCTGTTTATTTCCCCCCGCAATTATATCATAATATTAAAGTCATAATCAGAACAAACTAATATACATAAACATATTTAGAAACGCTAATGGCTGACAGACTAGAAGATACATCCATATTCAAGCATCACCACCTCACTCAAGCGGCCACAGATAAAATGATTCATCCACTCATTTCTAACGTCATAAATACATACACAGTGTAAGAGTTAAAAGTGTGGAGAAAGAGAAAAACGAATATGTAAAATATAAATGTTCTTACCGTCCTTGACGTCTTCAGTTCACCTCTGCGATGATGATCAGACCTGCTACGTGACGTCACGCCAGCTACTGCTACTGGGTCACGTGATTTTTCGTCATTCAAGTCATTTTTATGTGCGGTAATGTATTGTATTTAT